AGGCCTGACCAAGCCTTTGGTAAGTACAAATTTCCTTGCTTCTTACTCTAAGCACTCAGGTTCATTGTTTACTATTATTAAACAAATAAGTTGACAAATATTACAATAATAATGTTTGTGTATATAATAACTCACATTGCTTACTATTATGAAACAAATACGTTCCCAGATATTACAATAATAATCTTTGTGTGCACATAAGAACTCTGGTTCATTGTTTACTATTATGAAACTAATTGGTTCCCAGATATTACAATAATAATCTTTGTGTGCACATAAGAACTCTGGTTCATTGTTTACTGTTACGAAACTAATTGGTTGCCAGATATTACAATAATTATGTTTGTGTGCAGATAATAACTCAGGTTCATTACGTAATATTATGAAACAAATACGTTGCCAGATATTACAATAATAATATTTGTGTGCCACATACGACCTCTGGTTCATTGTTTACTATTATCAAACTAATAAGTTGGCAGATATTACAGCAATGTTTGTGTGCAGATAACTCAAGTTCATTGTTTACTATTATGACACTAATAAGTTGGCAAATATTTCTATAATAATGTTTGCGTGCAGATAACAACTCAGATTTATTGTTTACTATTATCAAACTAATAAGTTTCCAAATATTACAATAATAATGTTTGTGTGCACAAAACTCATTCTTACTTATTAGGCTGCTAAATATTTCCTTTTTTTGCTGTGTTTTTATGACGCTGCGACCGTCTACTGGCAGTCTGTGATGTGGCCTGCTGCCTGCTGATTAATTAACGTCAGTGCACTGCCACTATTATCTACACTGCTAATTTTGCTTTTGCCCATTAAAAGTGTATGCCAGTCTATAATCTGTTGCCTGCTTCTTTACCTCACTCAGTGTACTGCCAGCCTTTCATGTCGACTGTATTCTGCTTTTTCAGCTGCTGCCCGTATTGCCAGCTTTTCATGTCGACTGTAGAAATGCTTATGTCATTGAGTCGGCGTACTGGCAGTCTATAATCTAGACTGTAGCCTGCTTCTCAACTTACCTGTGCGTACTGCTGCTCTTTAATTTACTTATTTAACCTTATTTCTTTAATGAATTTCTATTGCTTCGATTATTCTTACATACCAAGAAAACACCATCGCACGATTTCCTGACACTAACAGAGCATACCATGCCCTACAATAACACATTTTCCTGTCGCAAGCCCAAGATGGGTACCACGTCAAGATTCCTCCAATTACAAAGCTGCAGGACAAAGACATCCTCACAAAACTGTCTCCTCTAAAAAAACGGAAATTCCTTCGTGATCATGGACAGAGGAGGAAACCACATATTATTGTGCGCCAACCTCTTTCACCAGTATGTTATCGATGATGCCAACATTGAGAGTGAGCGCGTTCTTTACATTCAACTGAATCACAACCACCGGCGTGTGAACAGTATGCTCATCTCTGGGATGCCATCAATGCCGAAGGAGATGCAAATGGTCACAATGTGGGCTCATTAGTTATTTTGCCTTCATCCTTCACAGCTCCACCAAGATTCATGAATGAGAAGACTCAGGATGCCATGATGTACATCAGCCAATATGCCACGCTGCATCTCTTCATCACCTTCACTTGCAATCCGAAATGAAAGGAGATCCAGGTTTACTTTTATCCAAACCAAAAGCCACCAGACAGACATGACATCTTAGCGAGTGTCTTAAAGCTCAAAGTTTATGACCTCATGATGCTTATTACGACCAACGAAGGCGACATCTTTGCATAGACAAGCAGAACCTTGCACACAATTGGGTGGCAAAAACGTCGTCTTCCTCATGCTCACATTTCCCTATGGATGACGTAAACAATTCATGCAAGTCATATTGACACATTTATCAGTGCTGAGCTACCTCACCCCCATCAAGACCCTGCCCATTTCCTATGTGGTCTGCAACCAAATGGTCCATGGCCCATGTGGCCAGTTCTATCCAAATGTGCCATGTATGCAAGACCAGAAGTGTTCCCAGAGGTATCCATGCAACTACTTAAAACACACTCAGTCGGCCCATGATGGCTATCGTTTATATCGTCACAGAACTACTGAGCATGATGGATTTCAAATTATGCTCAGTCCTGCCACTAACTCGCTAATTAAGGTTCACAACCGGTGGATTGTTCCCTACTGCCCTCTCCTGTGCAAGATCTTCCAGGCCCACTTTAATGTCAAATTCTGCTATTCTAAAAAAATCTATCAATTATCTTTGACAATACATCAACAAAGGCTCTGACATGCCTGTCTTTGCTTTACCAAACAGAGGGACAAAGTGTGCATGAGCTCAAACTTTTTTACAAGGAACATACATCAGCAACAATGGGGCCATTTGCTGAATTATTATCTTCTTCATCCATGACCGGAACCACAGTTGTCTATTTGCCACTTCACCTCCAAAATGGTCAACTCATCTACGTTCACAAAGGAAATGCCCAACAACAGGCCCTGGCGCCACAAGATACCACCCTGATGGCGTTCTTTGTTTTGTGCACAGTTTACCCATTTGCTACCAACCTGCTCTACCATTACGTTCCCTCCTACTATACATGGGCTGCTAAAAAAAAAACATTTAAGCGACGTGCTGCTGACGATTTAACCGGATGCCTTAGGACAAGTCTACACAGTTCATCCCAACAATCAGCAGTGATACTTTCTCCCAATGCTTCTCCATGTTGCCAAAGGGCACAAATCTTTCCAAGACCTCTAAACAGTCGAAGGAGTTGTCTGTCAAACATACAGGGAAGCTTTCAATCTTCGTGCGATTCTTCCGCATTATCACCATCTTCATAAAGCTATGACAGAAGCTTCTGTTGGTCAGTCCCCTTTACAACTGACATTGCTCTTCTGCATGAATCTTCAAGTTTGCAGCCCATCTAACCCCATGGGACTCTGGCAAAAATACAAAGAGGGCATGAGTGAGGACATCCTCCACGGAGCTCAATTACAAAATACAAACCTCGACCTCAACTTTTCTGATGTCAATCTAGATTTGAAGTTTTCGTGACTTCTGTCATCTTCAAACAGGCCCTCATCCTCCTTCAGTACAAGCTGCACTCCATTGGTGCTAAACACCTCGCGTCTATGGGACTACCAACGCCCTACAGGACAACCTGCATGCCCTTGCTCAAGAGATCCTACGTTCAATATGCTATTATGCTTTACAGCTTCGTACACTTATTGAGGAAAATTAACCAAAGCTGATGGATGCACAAATTGAAGCCTACACGAAAATTTTGCAACACATTGAGACTACCTTGATGCACCTGCCAGTACTCGAAAGACCTTTGTTTTCAAACTGCTCCTCGCTAAGACTCGCCAGAGAAGGAACATTGCTCCAGCTGTGGCATTATCGGGCATTGCAGTGTCAGTAGATGTGTGTGTGTCAGTCGATGTGTGTGTGCTGAGTCCATATGTGTGTGCATTTAGGTCCATATGTGTCTGCGTATTTTTTGCCCGGGCAACGCCAGATGTGTGTGTGTACGTCGATGTGTGTGTGTTAGTCGATGTGTGTGCATGGCTCCATGTGAGTGTGTGTGTCTCTATGTGTGTCAGTCGATGTGCGTGTGTGTGAGTCCATATGTGTGTGTGTTAGTCCATGTTTGTGTTAGTCCATATGTGTGTGTAAGTCAATGTTTGTGTGTGTGAGTCGATGTGTGTGTGTTTGAGTCAATATGTGTGTGCGTGTAGGTCCATGCGTGTGTTTAAGTCCATGTGTGTGTCTGTCTTTTTCGAACGGACAATGCCCGATGTGTGTGTGCGTCGAAGTGTTTGTGTGTGTCAGTCCAAGTATGCGTGTCAGTCCATTTGTGTGCGTATCAGTCACTCTGTGTGTGTGTTAGTCCATGTGTGTGTGTTAGTTGATGTGTGTGCATGGCTCCATCTGAGTGTGTAAGTGCATTTCCTTGCGTGTCTGTAGGCCCATGTGTGCGTGTGAGTGGAGAGAGTGCAGATCATTAAGGACCTTCATAATGGTGAGCGGGCCCGGGTAAAACTACGTGGCCGGGAGTCAGAGCCATTCCCTGTACACCTTGGGGTGCGACAGGGATGTCCTCTGGCTTCCACATTATTTAACATCTATTTTGACCACGTAGTTCGTGAAGCCTTCAATAGCTGTACCGGGGGAATCTCCATATGGTACAGATATAATGGGAGGCTGATCGATGCCCGGGTGCGGTCAAGGGATGGCTCCCTATTGCTCAACCATGTTATGTATGCTGATGATTTGGTAATAGCTGCTCATTCAGAGGAGGAGTTGGAGACGCTGCTGCTGAGACTGGAGCGTGCCACTAAGAGGTGGGGCCTTACCATCAGCCCCACCAAAACTAAGCACCTGCCTGGGTATTTTGTACCATCGGACACTCCACCCCCACAACTCCCAATCGGTGATGGGGCAGTTGTGGAGCGAGTGGAGAGTTTCCCATACCTGAGCAGTGTGCTTATGACCGGCTCCAGTTTAACAGCAGAGGTCTCACTCCGAATCAGTCGAGTGGCAATATCTTTTCATTGGTTGCGTAATGCTGTGTGGAAGCTACCTGGTCTGTCGCTCCGCACTAAGCTTCAGGTCTTCTCGGCCATGGTCATTCCCTCCCTTCTCTACGCTTGCGAAACTTGGACCCCCTAATGGAACATTTTCGCCGGTTAGAAACATTTAGGCCGGCCTGCCTACGATCCATCCTGGGTTTAACCAGGCTGGATTGTGTGAGGAGCTCACAAATCCTTGAAAGATCTGGACAAAGTCCCATCGGTGAGCTCCTCAAGGCAGGCAAGGCTGCGTTGGCTGGGCCATGTAGCCCACATGCCCAATCACCGCATGCTCAAACAGCTTTTGTTTGGCCTGATCGAGGGGGCTAAACGGGCGTGGCACAGGCTAGAGAAGAGATAAAGTGATGTGGTACAGGAGGATGTGGAGCTGAGTGGACATGCTGATGACTGGTACCAGTGATAGCAAGATCGGCCTCTGTGGAAGAGGCTCGTGAAAGACACTACTGGGCAGTTGGAGGCAGTCGCCCTCCAACAACAACGGAGGGTGGATCGAGCGACGCTTACGATAACGAGTGGAGCACCGGGTGGCTGAAGCACAGCAAGTTGGCACAGTAGGGGGCACAGGTGGTGCATCAGCCAGTCAGCTCAGCCGTCTCAGTCAGTCGACCCGTGGCACCTGGGTCTGCCCCGTGACCTCCTGCCTGCGGGCGTCCGACACTTCACTAGGCCTCAAGGTGCAAATAGCCTGGCACAAGCGTCGTGGTGACGTCACCGCCACCAAGTGGCGAATAGCGGTTGTGTGTGTCTTTTTCGCTCGGGCAACGCTGGGTACTTCCCGTTAGTTATTAATAAATTCCTTCAAACTGAAGTCGACTTGGAAGATTACTTTTAGACCGATCAATGCGCAGTTGAAAGTTAAAATACATGAATATTAAACAGATATAGGGTGACTGTTGAGACTAGGATATGTGCATGAGAGTGGTACACACTCACGTGCATGAGTGTGGTAAACACTCATGCACAAATGTATGCACATTCATTAAAAAACATTCCTACTCAGTGCCAGACCATTTCAAATCCACTTGCATCCCCTTCCCCCGCATGTCCTCCGCATGCCCCCCAGCACCACTCCCCCACAACCCCCAACATCGCTTCCTTCCACAACACATTCATAAATACACTTCAACATCATCGTAATCACCACGCTCATCAGAATCTTGGAGCCGCATTCACCTCCGGCTCCGTGTGGAGCTCACAAAGAGTTCCCCGCTCATTGTATCAGAGCCGGTGCCGGCGATCCGAGCTGTGGAAGTGAAATGCTACAGGCTTGTGTGCGATTCGCTCATGGGGCAGCTCCGTCTGCTGCTGGGTCAGCATCGCCTCTCAGCTTAAATCTACAAACGCAGGTTTACTCTGTGAGTCCAGTTGCTCCTCAGCTCCTGCTTCACTTCCTCACTGAAGTCATTGCCATCCACCCTGCAGCACAGAGAGAGGTTCACGCTGACGCGGGTTCACACGGAGACTCGAGCAGCTCCTCACAGTTCGAGACCCACACAGCCCCCACAACAACCGCGCTGGATGAAGGTCACCCCATGCCATGAGAGCTGCTTTACAATACTTCACCACGCAGGTCATTGCAGGTCTGTGATGGCAGGGACTGCAGATCTAGGATAGTATAGTTCAAGGGAGGATTGTGCTGCACACTGGTCCGTTGCCCACAACTTAGCTCTGCTGCCTATAACCCCTGTGGTTATGTGCGTCATCCATCTAAGCACTATCTAGGCTAAAACCTGCTTATCTTGCAGATTTAAGATAAGGCGCATTCCCAGTCGTTTGGTCATGCTCCTTGGTCTGATAATGCTTATTACATGTACTGGAATACACTCCACGACTAATCCCAGTTCTGGCAATGGCTCGTGTTGATAGGACACAGCCGTGCTGTGGAGAAGGTCCATTGCTCAAAACATTGCCTTTTGCATATATTTGTTATGTTAAGGCTACAGAGTTTTGTCTGTAGCAACAATTAGAGTGTGTATGAGACACGAGCAGCATAACTTACCAGAGCTCCCTCAATGATTTGTTGGTGATCATAATGTCATGAAGAGATAGGATCGATTTGTCCATCAGTGAGCAGTACTGCAGACTACAGGAGAGAAGAGGCACTGAGTGAGGTGAAATTGGAAAATAAAGTGTACACTCACAAGAAATGGAGAGTAACTCAACATCCTTCAATACAATGACAATGGTGGAAATCTTATAGAATCAGTTAAACAAAGAGGGAGGGAGTGATCATTGCGGACACAGGAAAGCAACCCTATTTGTCTATTATTTGTGTAATGCGGCTTTGTCCAACACGACATTTCCAGTAACGTAACCCCCCGGCGAGGTCTGCCTGTATGAAATATTGTATTCAATATTGTTTGACCATAAAAGGCCAATGTAGATACAGGCAGAATGGCCAGAATCAAAATGTGAATATTTATTTATATTGGAGAATCAGAAAAGCTACTTGACTTTACCGAAAGAACCAAAGAGTATGGATTCCTGCAGTGACGAAATCTTCAAATCAAGATAGAATGTTTTCAATGTATAGGTTTGGCGTATAGGTCATTGGTGACTTTATGGCTGTAATAAGGGTCAGATTGTGGTCTTATGAAGGTAAACGCATGGGTGGGCAATTAATGTCAAGATTGCAGCCGTTCGTTATATAAACTAATTAATTTTAATTTACGACGTTAAATACACATGGCCATCGATTATATCCAGAGCGTCATTATCTGGCTTCCAACATCCGGTGAAACGGGAAAAACTGCTGGAAAGGCTTTACCAGTTTACCGACCGGCACCATGTGCGTGACAAAACAAGTAGCTATGCTTTATTTCAGTGCCAAATAATATATACGGTACAGTAAATACCGACACTTTTTACAGCAGGATATTTATTTTGTCATTGTATATTTATTTAAATATGTTCACACCGCAAACTACTTATAACACCAAATATACATACAGAACACCGATAAGCATCTTATTCAAGAATGTGCAAAAATAAGCTATTTTAAATAATGATGCGATTATCTGGGTTTTTTTTATCCAGTACCCCGTTCCCTCCCTAACCACTGGATAATCTATGATCTACTGTATTAACATAATATTGTTTAAATCATGGGTTAAAGTAGGTAATGTGACAATTGTATTGTTATTTAATAGTGGTTAAAAGTGCTGTAATAAGTGTGGCTAATAACTTAATGATTGCATAAGAAATAAAGTTATAATAGACGTTAAAATACAACATTATCATGCTATACTGAGTATATTATATTCTTTGGTCTTTCAGTAAAGTCACGTAGATAGGTTAAAAAAAAATAACAAAAAATAACCAAAAGCTATGACGTTTCAATCGCAACACAAGCAGTCGTCTTCGGGGTTAGCTTCCAAGGCAAACTGTTTATAACGGTTTCAAATAGGTATAGCCCAAATGTCTGCAGCCAATGATAATGTAAGTGGTGGAGAGCCAACATACCGCAACCAAGTGGTCGGCGCGCGAAGTGGCTGTGCTTTTGTGAACCCTGTGAAAGCGCAAGTTTGAAATGGGCGTAAAGCACCACTAACATCGAAAGGTGCTACGATGGAAACATCATAGCCAATTATGACTTAAAACTGGTCGATAACGTTCTTCCTATGATTGATCAGTTTGTACTCATCTTCTCGGTTGAAAATGTGTCTGTGTCTATATACATGGATGGCTTCATGAACGAACCTTTGTTGATAGCCAGTGGGCGGGCAAAGTACCTTCGTCTTGGAGAAATCAATTCCGTGTGAGCCCACCGCATTAAAACAATGATTAGCCACGGCCGAGGTATTGGTCCTACCGTGTTTCAGATCTGCCTAAAGTTCACGAACACAGTCCGAGACATGTCGCTTAGTTTCCCCAATGTAACTACTGCTGCAGACACAGCTTAGTTTGTAGACAACGGGGCATTGCATGTCAGGGATCACATCCTTCACAGTGACCCCTGCCAGTGACCCCTGCTATGTATTGCAAGGTGATGGTTTTGATTGGGTCCTCAGAAGGCTATTTTCCAACGGTTGGGGTGATAGCTTTACGGATTGTGTAGTCCAAATATCCATTTATCTTGAGAGCTTGGTGTACATGTTACAGTTCATGGGCTAGGTGTTGATGGTCGCAAATACACCGAGCTCTATGGTGTAGAGTTTTGATTAGGGAATTATTCTGGGATGGATGGTAGTGGGAGTCAGGTTTTTAGGTAGGCATCCGTATGGGTGGCTTTCCTGTAGAGAGTGTCCCATTGAGCCATCTGGTCTCTTTTCTATTAAAACATCCAAGAATGGTAACTTGCCATTCCTTTTCCACCTCCATGGTGAAATTGATGGCTGGTTGTATGGTATTGATGTGGTTGAGGAATTGATTCAGAGCTGGTCTGCGATGTGGCCAGGTGACGAACGTGTCATCTGCGTGCCTCTTCCACAAGGACAGACTAGAGTGGATGCCTGGATGGCATCTGTCTCTTATTTTTCCATGAAAACATTGGCTACAACTAGATATAAGAGAGAACCCATTGGGGTACCTTCAACTTGTTTGTAGAATGTTCCATTCCAGGTGAAATGTTGGTGAGGCAGTGTCACACCAAGGCCGGTACATCAGCATTCAGTCCTTGTTGGACCAAATCTTCAATGATTGCAATGGTGTCAAGCACAGGAACTTTGGTAAACAAGAGACCACGTCGAAACTAACGAGCAAATGACCTTGAAAAAGTGAGATGTCCTTAATTGACGATACCAATTGAGCTGAGTTGAGTACAGCTGAGGTGGTCTTACCAGTGAATTGTTGTAAGGTCTCAGACATAAATCGGGCCAGTTTGTAGGTGGGTGAGTCAATGGTGGAGGCGATAGGGCGAAGGGGTAATAAATTATTAAAAGCTTTCATGACTGCATAAAATTGCTCATTGTTTTTTTCGGTAAAGTCACGTATGTAGAAATACAATAAAATTATATTAAAACAAAACAATCATGACGTTTCGATCACAACACAAGCGATCTTTATCAGGTGATTGTTTTGTTTTAATATAATTTTATTGTATTTCTACATACGTGACTTTACCGAAAAAAACAATGAGTAATTTTATGCAGTCACGAAAGCTTTAATAATTTATTAACACACTTCTACGGGGACGTTACCGTTGCATTTCTGTCCTAAATGTACACCCCAAGCCTGTTCCCATCCGCCCCCCCCGCTTCTGTGTATGTGCAAGATGTGCCTTTTTTGAGCTGCCACAATATGTTTTTTGAGCTGCCGCTCTCTCTGCCGCCCCCCCCTCAACCTTATTTCCTATTTAAGCTTCTGTTCATCCCTCTCTCTCTCTCCTTGCCTCTCTGTCCGTCTTTCCTACTGACCATGTACCTCGTATTTTCACTCTGTCTATGCTGGTTTGTGCAATCCAGAAGTTGAACACGAAATTTAACACTCTTCTGAAATTCGTGGTCTGCCAGGAAGTGTCTAACTGTGTTGTTGGCCTGACTGGTGGTGCTTCACATAATGTTTTTTTAGGTTTGTTAAATTCTTGTCTCTCATCCTTTTGTTGTATTTACCTCCATGATTTGTTCTTGACACCTGATGAAGATCGCTTGTGTTGTGATCGAAACGTCGTGTTGTTTTGTTTTAATATAATTTTATTGTATTTCTACATACGTGACTTTACCGAAAAAAAACAATGAGGACGAAGGGGTGTTCCTTCTTTATGGATTTTTGTTACGCCATACAATCTGGGTGGTCTAGCAGCAGAGGGTTTTAAGGAGAATCGCTTGGTTGGTTCGATCAAAGATGTCGAATCAGTGATAATATTGTTGGTTTTCGTAACGAGGCAGTTGGTGGGATCTCTTAAAATTTAGGTATAGCTACCATCATTAAGTAGGTCCTGAATTGTGTTCTTGAATGTGGTTTTGTCCATGATGATTGTGGCATTGCCCTTTTCGGCTGAGAGGATGACAAAATCATTCTCTTTTTTAATTTAGAAAGTTCAAAACGCTCATCTTTACTGGTGTTGCTGATAGGTGTCTTAGCATTGTTGAGGATTGCAGTGATTTCCGATCTTGCCACGTTTGCATAAATGTGTCCCAAACCCTTAAGGGCTACGTCGACCTGGGCAATGATATCATCGTTTAGGGGTGACTGCGAAATTGAACCCTTTGGCTAGAACCGATTTTAGGTGTTTGTCGGAAATTGGACTGTTTCTCTGTTTGATAACCATCTTGTCAAAGTCTAACTTTTCGATGTGTGGATCTGGATTCTTGGAAAGGAGGATTAAATTGGAAATCAGGTTATCTTTGCATTTAGCTGACATTGAGGTGGCTGAAGAGGCTGTCATGTTATCTACATGGTCCCAATCAGATCTAGACATTTTTCCGTCAATGTTGTGTGATTTCAGGAGAGTCTAAATTGTATAGTTCAAATCGGAGCAGTTATATTCTCTTCGATTGGTGGAAAACCAACCACTTTCAGGTTGGGCTGCCCACCACTTATATTATCATTGGCTGCTGACATTTGGGCTACACCTATTTCAAACCCCTTATAAACAGTTTGCCTTGTAAGCTAACCCCCTTTGCCTGAAGACGACCACTTGTGTTGCGATTGAAACGTCGTAGTTTTTTGTTATTATTTGTAATTTTTTGTTATTTTCTTTTAACCTATTTACGTGACTTTACCGAAAGACCTAAGAATATTAATTCCTGCAGTCACGAAAGCTTTAAGTCAATATTTATACTGAGTATCTTTGTGTTTTGTGTCACATATGTGTATATATATTTGTTTGGGTGTACTTTTACAAGTGTGTGTGCATTGGGCCATGACTCACTCTAATGTCTCCAAACTCCCTGCTATTCCGAACATCCCGTCCGCCAAACATTTGAGTCCGCTGGCTCTGATCTTGTTGTCACTCAGCCTGAACCAAGGTGGACGGGAGAAGGGACAGCCCTGACTCACTGAGCCCACGAGAACCGCAGAGTCAAAAACGCGGTGAGTTAGGGACAGTCACAATGGCGGTGCACTTAACCGGAGTACACACTCATTGCATTTTTTTGGTAAAGTCACGTATGTAGAAATACAATAAAATTATATTAAAACAAAACAATCACGACGTTTCGATCACAACACAAGCGATCTTCATCAGGTGTCAAGAACAAATCATCGAGGCAACTACAACAAAAAGATGAGAGACGAGAATTCCACAAATCTGAAAAAACATTATGTGAAGCACAGCCAGTCAGGACAACAACACAGTTAGACACTTCCTGGCGGACCAGGAAGTGTCTAACTGTGTTGTTGGCCTGACTGGCTGTGCTTCACATAATGTTTTTTCAGGTTTGTGGAATTATTGTCTCTCATCTTTTTGTTGTATTTACTTCCATGATTTGTTCTTGACACCTGATGGAGATCGCTTGTGTTGTGATCGAAACGTCGTGATTGTTTCGTTTTAATATAATTTGATTGTATTTCTACATACGTGACTTTACCAAAATAACCAATGAGTAATTTTATGCAGTCACGAAAGCTTTAATACAGAGTACACACGTTCATGAGCAAAGCTGCTCATTGTTTAATGCTTCTGTGTTAGACATTTGATATATAATAGGTGACATTCACAAACATAACTTTACTCACAATTATCCGTTCAATTATACTGCACTGTACCTTTATAATATGAAAAGTGTTTGCGTTTATATGAACACAAAGTTGCAACAGAGGATTACACACGAGTGAAGTACATTTTAACTGATGAACACAGGAAGATGTTGACAATTAATATATCTGCTAACAATATGTTCTGAATATGAATATCAATTCTTATTAAGTTTGGTGCATTCTGCGTGATTTTCTTGTCGACAAAGATATTGCTCAGCATTGCCAATTGTTTATTGCTGTGGTTGTCCCACCTGATGGCAGGCACTTGTGTTGCGCCCGAAACGTCGTGATTAAATTTATTTTATTTTATACCTACGTGACTTTACCGATACTGCCATGTAGAGACAGCAAAATTGCTGGGTTGACATTTAAATGTTTACTTCACAACGCGTTGCACCAATGATTAGCACAGTTCGTGCAGAGAGCACATGTGAAAAACGAACAGCAGAGCTTACCTGAGAATCTTCAAACCTGTGTTGGCCTTGAGGATAACACTGAGATAGGAACCTGACTTGTCCGTCAGTGAACAATGATACAGGCTGCAGGAAGAGAAGAGACGTCGTGATTTTTTGTTATTTTATTTTCACCTACGTGACTTTACCCAATAGAACCAAAGAGTAGAGAAGAGACTGTTAGTGGGGGCAGAGGGGATGGGTGGAGGATCTGGGCAGAGAGTGGGGGATGGTGAGGGGTGGTGAAAGGTGGTGGTTGCTGATGGGACAGTGGTTGAGGGTCGTGTTTGTGGAGACTGCACAAATGTCATGTCAACTTTCATAGGAGCTTGCAAAAAGCAACTGCTGTTTAGGTTTTTGGGTTTAATGTGATGTATGTGTGAATGTCTACTATGTGTGCATTTGCATTTGTCCATCTCTATGCGTGTTTGTACATGTGTGTCTTAGTGTATGCATATGTGTGCATGCGCGTGGAAAGTAGAGGTGCAGTGGTTAGCACACTGCGCCACGAACCTGGTTCGGTTGCCACTCATGGCTAACCTCATTGATGAATATCTAAAACGACAGTGGACCTCACCTAGGTCGACTCAGCCTTAAACTAGTACCTGGTGTAGTAAGTAAACATCAGTTGGCTGAGTGTGGTGCTGGCCTCCTTATCACCATGTGCCGTTCTGGCCTTCATTAGGTGTTCCCTAACAGTATATGACCGAAAAGTCTGCTAAAGGCTCTGTAGAATCTCTGTGTGTGTTTATATATTGATCAAATAATCATGATTTATTTTCGATATTGCATCATCCTACAAGCAGTCACAACTGAAAGCATTTCATTTAACATCTCATCACAATGTAATTGAAAGGAAACCTTCAGTCACAACTATCTGGAGCACAAGGTAACTTAGCACCTGGCCTGCATATCGGCACTTCCACTTAAACTCTTCCCATATCCTCTCATTCCTAAATTTCTCATAACCTCCTCCAATTTCCTCATTAACGTCTCTCAATTTTATTATCGTGTACATTATTAACATTTAAATACCTCCCGTGGGCACTCTTTTCTAAATACCTGCAGATCAGTGACACTATTACTAAAGCTTCAAACAAAGACTGCAAGCTTAGTGCCGACACTGTTATAGATTGGCTGAGGGGTTAAAAAGGACAATATAGATTGGCGGAGGCAAATCATGTAATCAACAGAGATGGTGACAGATGAAACATAAAACTAGAAAGTTATGGGAAAAGCTGCTGGGACTGCACATTCCTCACCAGAAATGGTCTTTTCTGCTGAAAGTTATTCAGTTCAAGTTCATGAATGGGACCTACCTGACCAACGACAGGAGAGCCAAATTTAACAACTCCTCGGATTTCCCTAGATGCACGCAAGGCAGAGTACAGACATACCTACAAGTCTTCTGACCGTACCCAGATATCTCGAAATGTTATCAGGACATAACGGACTATTTTAAATGGATCTGTGGCACAGAATTGAGCCGCTAAGTGGACAAAACTTTGTGGGGCCTGAAGCTAAGGGGGGTGTCAAAGCACCAATACACGCTACTCAAAACCTTTTAAATTGTAGCAAAGAAAAAAATATTCTGGCAAATTGGACAAATTCCTGGCGTTGTGCAGTAAGACCACGTGGAGACGGGATTTACTATAAGGTATGGTTTACAACATGGAGTATAACAGCGCCTCGCAGCTGTGTCTCTCCCCCTCCTCTGTTCCGACCATGGATGAACTCGTCTGTCTGAACGGGACCCGTAGCTATCCGTGTTGCTAAAGTTGAGGGTAAGAATCCACCCATTTTTCGCCATATAGCATTGTGATATATAACGACTTATTGTTGGTAGCTTAGCTGATTGGAGAATATAGAGTTTATTGATAACATTGGGGTAATTTATATTTTAGTATTTTTTATTGGTTCACTATATAGTATTCATTATATATTGTATTGTATACCCAGTTACTGTGAATAGCTCAGATGTGTAGGCCTTAACTTCAACATAGCCATTTCTGTGACCAGTCACAAGCTAATCACTCAGTTATTTCAATGCTAAATTCGCCTAGTTATTTCAATGCTAAATTCTCCTGTTTGATTTGTACTAGGTGCCTCGGTGAATGTATATGCTCTGACTTTAACATAGCTATTTCTGTTACCAGTTACAAGCTAATCACTCAGCTATTTCAATGCTAAATTCTATGCTAATTCCTTTGTCAAGGGGTGCCTTTGCGGATGTGTATGCTTTAACTTTAACATAGCCTTTTCTGTGACCAGTCACAAGCTAATCACTCAGCCATTTCAATGCTAAATTATATGCTAATTCCTTTGTCAAGGCGCTTTGTTTCTTCTCACACAGCTTAAAGGTCGTGATCTCAGCGTGGCTTTCTCACTCCAGTGCTGTCCTCCAGACAGTCTCGTCCCCTTCACCTGATGAAGGCCGCTTGTGTTGTGGCCGAAACGTCGTGAGAATATTATTGTGTTATTTTATTTATTTATTATTTTATTCTCATTCTACGTGACTTTACCGAAAGAACCAAACAAAAAAGAAGGCTGTTGCTGTTTATTAAACACTGTTAAACTCAACATTCAAACTCACACCAGAGGTAGGCGTTCTCTATCTGAGTCCTTACCCCGGACTCTCAACAGTGCCTGGTCCTGCCTTCAGCTATCCCTTAGGGCTCTCTCACTCATTTGCCCGGAACGGGGGCTCATCCAACACCGTCTGGCGATGAGTAGAGAGAAACCCTCTCTCAGCCGATCCCTACTGAATGCTCTGAACCCTACTTTCGGCTATCCCTTAGTTCTCTTCTTCCAGCCGATCCTTTCCCTGGCTCCCCACAACGACCCCACTTTCATCATTACACCTCCTTTGCCAGTACCAAAATGTAATAATAGGGCTTTTCCCATTTTTTCTGGCAACAAAACTGAAACCTTTTTTACAAGGATTCATGTCTGCATTAACCACAATACCTGCAGTCAAAATGCAAACACAAAACATACTATGATAATATATGCATTGTCCTTGGTGTGGACCAATCAGTTTCAAGGACAATGCATATATTATCATAGTATGTTTTTTGTTTGCATTTTGACTGCAGGTATTGTGGTTAATGCAAACATGAATCCTCGTAAAAAAAGGTTTCAGTTTTGTTGCCAGAAAAAAAAGGGGGAAACCCCTATTATTAGACCCCACTTTCGTCATGGGGTCCCCCTTAAGTACCCCCTACAGCCCTGTGACACGACGTCATCCTCGTCTATCAACTCGCTCGCACCTCCCTCTGTTCGCCCCTTCATGGTTGCTCAAAATACTCCTCTACACTGGGACACTGACAGATTCTCTACTTGCTGTGGTGGAATCGAGCTCTTAAACTATGAACTTAAAGGAAGGTAGTTGGAATATAACGCTACGTGGTCCCCAAATTGGCTGAAACCTGCAAGAATTGTGGGATAAATGGGGGTCGGGGATAGGGAATGGCCTCTTGACACTGCACCATTTCTGCAAACACATGATGTCTGTTGCTCCGAGGGGAACAAGATTGATAAAATCGGACATCGCGTTTATATTATTTTATTTTGCATATTGTTTAGTCACATTACCCCCCCTCCCCTTTTACCCTTAACTTCCCCTCCTATGAAAATATGCTACTCTAAATCATTGCCCGATAGTGGTAAGGCAGTGAACCCAAGTGCTTGCAGTCGGCCCCCTCCCCATTTTAAGGGCGTATTGTGCCAGGCTGTTTCACGTTTTTGACCTAAGTTTCTGTCTCGAATGTTCATGTTGTGGTTTTGTTGGATTATTGAGCAATACAAAAAAAGAAAAAATCTAACCTCTTATTTGTGCAATATTCTTTAAAGGTCCAGTAATCGTTCTCTGCAATATTGATGTTTTTGTCGTTGTTTTGTTGTTCTTGTGCTCATGCAACCATGAATCTCTCAGCCTGGAAACTGGCTAAACTGGATCGTCCATGTAGCAAATAAAAAAATACAGCAAACCCTTCCCTCTGACGGGTTAAGTTATTGCAGTTTTGCATTAAATGTATTCTGTGGCTCGACCATTCATTGTTTAATGCGAGATTCCTGTATTCATTGCATGTATGTATGTTGAACTTCTTTCACAACGTACGTACAGTACCATACAAGGATGCATGTAGTATATTGGTGGGGTGGGGGGGGATGGGCCAAGTGGGATCATGGACAAGGAAGAGCCCGAGGTCGGTGTGGTCACCCTGGGCGGCCGCTAGACTCCTCTTATTTCCTCACTAAATTCTTCCACTTCCTTTGTAATATATCCCAGTTATATATGAACTCCCATTTCATCTAGTTCCGATTCCCCTGCTACCTCCTCTGATTTCCTCACTAACGTCTCCCACTTTTCACACACATCAAAAATTTACCCCCAACTCACAATTCCCATGTCTCAAATGTGATTTCCCTTTCTTCACAAACTCCCCACTTCCTCAAATTCCAACCAGCTCTTCACGTATCCTCAAACCAATCCCAATTATTATACAACATTTTCCCATATCCTGTTACTCCTATTTTCTCTTTCATTCCTTCCTTTCTAGCTTCTCTAATTCCCTATACGTTTTATTTTTACTCCTTCCATTTCTTCTCTATCTCCTCCCACCTATTTGACCCCTCATACGTGTAATATAACGCTATCATTTCACTCCTACAATTCTAACACCTCAAATCCTGTAAATTCACCCAATGCCTCACAAACTTCTCACATATATCAATGCCTCCTCGCACTTCCTCTCGAATTGATCGCATGTTCTCCATCTCTTCAGACTTCCTCTCTAGCTCCAACCATTTTCTAACTGCTCCTATTTCCTAACGCCATTCCCCTTTTAACTAATTTGACCCACATACTCACGAAGCTCTCACATTTTCCGTGCTATTTCCTCTAATTTTCTACAACTCCAATTTTATTTGTAGCCCTTCCTAATTCCTCAATACCTCACGATTCTACTCATACTCCTACTGAGTTGACTCAAGCTTCAATTTCCATCGACACCACTCATTCCTTTCTAAATCCTCTCATGGCCTCTCCAATTCCTAAAATGTCTTCTATAACTCTCCAATATCCTCCATTCCTCCCATTCCTTCTAACTCCTACCGTTTCCTCTATAAGCCATCGCATGTTCGCTATAGCTTGTCCCATTTCCTGTCTAACTCCTCCCCTTCCCTACATCTTCTTCCACATCTTTACAAACCCAACCCATGTTCTCCCTACCTCCCAATAAATATATTTACCTCCTACCATTGTCTCAATAATTATTCCCACTTCCTCAAACATTCATATTTCCTCTCTATCTCCACTTTCCTATTCAACTCCTCCACTTTCCTCACAAATGTCTCCAATTTCTGATATGTCCTCCCATGTATTACACTTTCCCCATTTGCTCCCCAACTCCACGCATTTCTTCTTTAGCTTCTCCCAATCCTTCTGCTACCATCAACTCAGATAAGGAGGTGGAGGCACTGCTGCTTTATCTGGAGTGTGGTACTAAGATGTAGGGCATTACCATCAGGCCTTCCAAAGCTAAGTACCTTCTTGGGTATTTTGTGCATCAAACACTCCACCACCTCAACTCCCCATTTGTGGTGGCACAGTTGTGTAGAAAGTAAAGAGCTTTCCCTACCTGGGCAGTGCATTTAGAACCACCTCTGGTTTGAAATTAGAGGTCTCACTTAGAATCAGTCAGGAAGCAGTATATTTTCATCGCCTGCATAATGCTGTGTGGAAGCTGCCTGGTCTGTCGCTACACTTGAAACTTCACATCTTCCTCAGCAACAGTTATGCCCTCCCTTCTCTATGCTTATGATACGTGGCCCCCTCTGATGTAACATCTGCAACAGTTTTAATATTCATGCTGGCCTGTACAATCTATCCTGGGTTTAACCAGGCTGGATTGTGTGAGGAGCTCACAAATCCTCGAAAGATTTGGACATTCCACTCGGTGATCTCCAAAAGGCAAGGCTGCTTTGGGTGGGTCATTTGTCCTGCATGCTCAGCCACCGCATGTCCAAGCAGCTTTTATTTGGCTGGATAGACGGGGCTAAATCGACACCACACTGGCTGGAGACAAGATGGACTGATGCGGTATGGGAGGATGTGGAGCCAAGTGGATTTGCCATAGACCGGTACCTGTGGTGTTGAGATTGGCCTCTATGAAAGAGGCTCGTGAAGGACGCTACTAGTCAGTTGGAGGCAGTCACCCTCACCCAACAACGGAGGGCACAGCAGTGACGCTCACAAAATCTAGTGTAGCGTCGAGCGGCTAAAATGCAGAAAGTTGGCACAGGTGGGGGCACAGTTGGTGCATCTGCTAGCCATCTCAGTCAGTCAACCCATGGCACCTTATTCTGTCCATGCCCTGCTGCCATTGAGCCTTCGACACTTCACGTGTCCTCAAATTGCACCTGGCACAGGAGCTGTGGAGACGTCACTGCCACTTAATGGTGAATGGCAAGTGTTGTTGTTGTTGGTGGTGGCGTGTTGCCACAGTGGTTAGCGCCCTGCTCTATCAACCCAACCCAAAACAGATTCCAACTCCTGACGAACATCAGTGATAAATACATAGGAGTCTCTGCCCACCTCTGAATCCACTCATTACCCATCACGTAGCTGTGGCTGATTTAAACTGTATATTGGGTACAGTTAAAATGATGTTAACATTAATAGGGGTGGTGTTTAAAAGTCACATGGGGTACATTGGTGAGTTTATGGCATTAATAAGGGTCAGGTTGTGGTGTAGTAATGAAAAGGTCAAGATGTCTGCCGATAGTTTTTCTAATCTCTTAATTTCCACTTATGGAGTGAAATAATCTATAGGGTAGAGTAGGTTATTTGTGAGAATCTGATTGGGAATTTGTAATTGTAATGTAAATTAATAGTGGTTTAAAGTGCTGCAACAAGTGAGGCTAGTTAATTAATGTGCATAAAAACAAGTGAAATATGAAATATTTTATCAATACTGAGTATCGTTGTGTTTTGTGTCTGTATTTGTGTGTTGATATTTGCTTAGGTGTTTATATAAGTGTGTGTACATCAGGACATCACTCACTGTAGCGCCTCCAAACTCCCTTCTCTCCCAAACATCCCATCAGCCAAAAGTCGGAGGCCGCTGTCTCCGATGCCGTTGTTACTGAGCCTAAACCCAGGTGGACGGGAGAAGAACCAGCGCTGACTCACTGAGCCCACATGAACCACAGGGTCAATCACGTGGTGAATTATGGACACTCACAATGCGGATGGACATGACCAGAGCACACGTTCATGAGCAAAGCTGGTCATTGTTTAATGCTGTGTCATACATTTGATATATACGTGGTATTCACTAATATCAGTTTACTCACAATAATCCATTCAATTATACTGCACTGTACCTGTATAATTTGAAACGTGATTGCGTTTATGAGAACACAAAGTTGCAGCAGAGGATCACACAATTTTTCATCGAGGAACACAGGGAGATTGTATTTACTAATATCACTATACATACAATCATCCATTCAATTTTAGTGCACAGTACCTTTATCATCTGAAAGTGTTCGAGTTTTCAACACACAAATGTCTAAAAGCACTTGGCCGTTGTGCAAATACAATTAGCATTTCCTGAAGAAGTGCATTGTGGTCCTCTTGTCACTAGCAACATATATTGGAGTAAATTAACTGACTAACAAAAGCAGTGGTGCAGTTTAATAATGTACAACTGTGTAATAGATTCATCCTTATTAAAGTTCGTGGATACACGTTGTTGGGATCGAGTGTGGGGGGGTCACACTTCCAGTGGGTCACGGGACAGACCCAGGTGCCTGGGTCTACTGACTGAGATGCCTATACAGGTCACCATACTTCAATAGGGATTACCATTGGTACAGCTATATTAGTACACACAATAGACAGGAAGTACAAGAACAATATGATCGCATAATGTGCATGCATAATGTACATTTATTACCATATAAACATCCAAAACGGCATTGGGTACCAATAATAATTTATATAAATTATATAATCCCCCCACTTAACGCAAGAAGAGCTCACAAGTGTTGCCATCACATCTACCCCTCTATTTAATAAAGGTTTTTGGGTTAGATCGCGTTATATATGTGTCGTAACCCTTCACACCCGACACGGCCAATCACGTTGACAAAAGACAAATAAATTTTGATTTAAAGCTTTCGTGACTGCATTAATTCATATTCTTAGCTCATTCGGTAAAGTCACGTTGAAGGGAAACAATAAAATAATAAAATATATATAAAACAATAAAAATTATCACGACACCTGATGACGACCGTTTGTGTTATGGTCGAAACGTCGTGAGAAATTTTATTGTTTTATATATATTTTATTATTTTATTGTTTCCCTTCAACGTGACTTTACCGAAAGAGCTAAGAATATGAAAAGACAAATAGTTCACTACTTTAGCCCACCGGTGTGTTGAGTGAATCCACAACATTTACAGTTTGAGTTAGACGTTTCGCTGGTGATTACATCCAGTATCATCGGGAAATTCGCCAGAATGGTAAAGCCCTCACTTGCTCCCGGTCTTAAATATAGCAGCAGGGTGACGTCAGATTGTAAATGTTGTGGCTTGACTTTCCAACACACCGTTGTACTCTACTTGTAACGAATTGGCATGTTCTGTTTATGTAACAAACCTTAGTAATTGGATGTGTCGGGTGAGTTTAATGACACATTGAAGTGATATAACCTAAACAAAACTGTATTATGGATGATACTCGTTTGTTATTTCGGTAAAGTCACGTAGATATTAATAAAATAAAACAATTCATGACGTTTTGATTGCAACAAGCAATCCTCATCAGGTGGAACAACCACAGCAAGAAAACTTCTGAAGTAGGCGAGAGAGCTGCCATGGCAAGAGGTTATATAGGTAAGAAAGGGGGGAGGGGCAAGGGGGGAGAAAGAGGGTGGGGGAGGTGTGGGGCAGAGGAAGGGGGGCTGCGTGAGAGCTAGGGGGAGAAGAAGTGAGGCTGGAGGGGGGGGGAATGGGTGGGGCAAGAAGTGGGAAGCTGAGTGTGGGACACGGGGGAAAGTAACTCGGGAAAAAAACTGCTAGTAAATGGCAGGTATGATGGAAACAACTAAAACCGGTTAAAGCTTTACCAGGTAAAATAACATAATTTCAAAGATTGCTCAATTTGTATCCATCTTCTCGATTGAAGTTATGTCTAAGTTTAAACATCTGGATGGTTTCATGAACAAACTTTTGATAGTAGCTCGAAGGTTTGCAGATTACCTTGGTCTCAGAAAAAAAACAATATCATGCGAGCACACAGCGTTATACAATGGACAGCTACGGCAGAGGTACTGGTTTTGCCGTGTTTCAGATCTGCCTTGTGTTCGCGAACCCGGTCCAAGACATGTCGTCTCGTTCCCCCAATGTAACTGTTACCGCAGGTACAACTCAGCTTGTAGACTCCAGGGTATTGCATATCAGGAATGATCTCCATCACAGATGGGATTAGATCACTGATTTTGTGTACTGTATTGGATCGGACCTGGATCTTGTGTTTGTTTAAGATTTTGGATACTTTTTGGTAACACCTGCTATGTATGGTAAAGTGATGGTTTTGATTGGATTCTCAGGAGATTGTTTATTCATAGTTGGAGAAACAGCTTTGCAAATAATGCGGTCCGAGTACCCATTCATCTTGAGGGCTTGGTGTACGTGTTCCAGTTCACTGGCTAGGTGGTTCTAGATTTGAAGCTTTCGTGACTGCAAGGATTCATACTCTTTGTTTTTTTCGGTAAATTCACGTAGGCAAAATACAAATAAAAGAAAACAATTAAATTAAATCACGACCTTTTGGAGGCAACACAAGCTTCCGTCTTCAGGTGGAACAGTCACAGCAAGATAGCTGCATCAAGTGGGGAGCTCTGAGACCCTCGAGCTTATATACAGGTTAAGGGGGGGGGGGGAGGAGCCAAGCAGGGGACGACGATGGAGTTGGGGGGCTAAGTTAATCCGTCTTTTGTTGTGTTGAGGGTTCAGGGGATGCGGTGGTTCACTGCACGGGGGCAGTGGAAAAAAGGCTGTGCGCTTATAAGGTAGCTAAAGTTTTGACTTGGTTTATGACATCTTTCTAGTGGTTTCCTCCGAAACATCGTGATTTAATGTAGTTTTTTTACTAAAATAACCAAAGAGTATTAATCCTTGCAGTCACGAAAGCTTCAAATCTAGAATTAATGACCTCTACGGGGAGGATTTCCACCTATCTGTTAGAGCGTTTAACAGACAACGAGATAAGAAGTCACAGCTCATCGAGACGCTAACCTTCCTCAAAAGAAGCCGCGATAACAAGGTAATACCCATCGCTTTCACACTCACATCTGCTGCTGTATCTGCACCGAACTCTAAACGGATTTTGTTTAATGCTAGCCTATCACTAATCTCAGAGAGGATAAGAGTATTCCGATTTGAACTCGATAGTTTAGACAGGACTCTCCTACAATCTCATTTAATGTTAACAAAAAAAATGCCCCCTTCTGATTGGAACCACGTTGACAACATGACTGCTGCCTCTGCTGATTAACTGTCAGTCAAATGCAAAGCTAACCTGATCGCTAAATTCAACCTCCTATCAAAGAAGAACCCAGTACCACACATCACAAAACTGGACGTTAACAAAATCGTTATTAATCAGTAACATCCCGATTTCGGAAAATCTGAAAACAGTACTGACTAAAGGACTAAATTTCGCTGTCACCCCTAAACATATACCAGAAGAGGATATCATCTCTCAGGTCGATGTAGCCCTCAAAGGCATAGGACACATCCAAGCAGACGTTGCGAGAGCTGAAATAGCCACTATGCTTAAGAATGCTAAGAAACCCATGAGCAACATCAGCAAAAATGAATGCTCTGAACTCGCGAATTAAAAAAGAGGGATGATATAGTCATCCTCTCGGCCGACAAAGGCAATGTCACTGTCATTATGGATAAAAACTCATGCAACAACAAAATCCAGGACCTCAATGATGGGAGTTACTCAAAAATTAAAAGTGATCCTACTAACAGCCTAACGATAAAAAACCAACAAGATCATCGCTAGATCGACTTCCCTAATCGAACCAACCAAACGTCTCTCCCTAAAACCCTCTGCTGCAAGACCTCCCAGATTCTATGGTCTTCCCAAGATCCATAAAGAAGGTACCCCACTGCGACCCATCGTGTCCACGATCAACTCCCCTACCGACAAGCCAGCCCGTTTTCTGTCGGATACTCTGCTTCCCTTCACTGGCAATACCACCTCAGCAGTACTTAACTCAACCCAATTGGTTTCTATGGTCAAAGACATTGTACTATCTCCTGACGATATCCTCGTCAGCTTTTATGTGGTCTCTCTGTTCACTAAGGTCCCAGTACCTGATACCATAACAATAATTGAAGATTTGGTCCAACATGGACTGAACCCTGATGTACCTGCACTGGTTAGGCACTGCCTCACCAACACTTACTTTACCTGGAATGGCACCTTCTACAAACAAAATGAGGGTACCCCTATGGGTTCCCTCTTGTCACCAGTGATAGCCAATGTTTTCATGGAGAAATTTGAATCGGACGCCATCCAGACATCCACCCTTCGTCCTTCCCCGTGGAAGAGATATGTGGATGACACTTTCGTCATTTGGCCACATGGCCTCCCAGCTTTGAACCATTTCCTAGACCACATCAATTCCAGACACCCATCCATCAAATTCACCATGGAAGTGGAGAAAGATGGCAAGCTGCCATTCTTGCATGTTCTGTTTGAGAGAAGGACTGATGGCGCTTTGGAACATTCTGTTTACAGGAAGTCCACCCACACAGATTCCTACTTGAAGCCTTATTCCCACCACCAACCGGCTCAAACTAATTCTCTCATCAAAACATTATACCATAGAGCTCATTGCATTTCTGACCAACACCACCTGACCAGTGACTTACATCTAGCCCTAAAAGATGAACGGTTACTCTGACCGTATCATCCGCCAAGCTGTTTCTCCCACCATAGAGAAACAACCACTTGACACTCTGATCAAAATCATCACACTGCCATACATAGCAGGCGTTACTAAAAAAAATTCCAAAATTCTAAACAATCACAAGATCCAGGTTCGGTTCAATACAGTACACA